AATTTCAGTCAGACATGACAAACATGATAAAAAATTCAACATTTAAAAAACTGACCATGCAATGAGAAATACAATAGTATAATTATAATTAAATTATTTAAAAATAATACACATTTTTTTTATATTAGTCCCCCTCGCAGATGCAAAAAAACCAAATCGGAATTAATGAGAGACATTTTTTAAGCCGCTAAATGCCACCTCCTTTGATCACTTTCCATCCCAACATTTATCTCTGTAGATTTGGTTGGCAACAGTATTATTTGTTTCAAGCTCTCAACTCTCTAGTGAGATACAGCGAGCAGTCACAGAGAAGATTGATACCTGGTGTTTTACTCGTCCCACGAGAGAAGGGGCTAATCTGTTAGACCTTTCAGTCTTGTGATGGTGCATTTGTCCAACATGTCAGCTCACTGGTCTCTCTAATCTTACGTGACTGACAGGTAGAAGGAAACATTGTGACACAACAACAGCAACATAAAAAAAGCTTGAAAACACTGAAAATGTTGCCTTTTGGCAGCTGTGTTTTAAAGGAATAAATGAGGAGTGGCAGTTTTTCTCAAAGGTACTAACATTGTAAAGATAAACATTGTAAAATAAATGTTTCACCTAGCTGATAATATGAATACATGTATGTAGAGTAACTATAATGCGCGTCAGCTCACTGCTGAAGCATACGAAGACAGCAGGATTAAGATGCATACTTCTGTAAATTGGACTAGACACAAAGATAATTAAAAGTTTTAAAAAAATATATAAAGATCTTGAGTGAATGAAAAGGTAGAACGCCAACAACACTAATAAGATTTATTGGCATCGTAAGTGTGCTCAAAATCCAAGCCCCCTGGCAATGACTTTAAAATGAGATGCCAGTGGTTTGACATGGCTGCACCACAGGCTGGAAAAATACAGCTGATGCACAGCTGTGTTCACGCCACAGATATGACTCATGCTAATGAGGTTTCCTTTATAACCACTGAGCATATCTTTGGTTTATTTGGCACCAACTGACATACACAATCACAAATGTGAAAGAATTATTTATAGGAAAAGAAATGGTCATATAGCACCATACATATGAGTGATACAGCTGTATTTCCAGACAACAGAGAGAATCCGTGATTCTTATTAGTTGAGCCTTGGCAGTGGCTAACTGCATGGACTGGAAGCCATTAACAGCTTGTGAATGTCGATGGTGCAACACTCCCCCAATTAGCAACACTCTGCAAGCTCAGCGTCAGATAGAGAAGCCAAGCAATCCTTCAGAGACACATCAAGATGGTGTGAATAAAGCTATAAGTAGCAGATGAGGGAGCCAATTTAAGGGAATTCAGGAACAAAGTCCTTACATGGACCACCAAAACTGAATTCAGAGCAGTGTCTGTGTGTCAGGTGTAAGACATAGATGTATGAACAGTTATGATATATTCTGTAACGCTTCTTCAGGGTCAAATAAACTAATTAACTATAGAAACAATGCACACATGTTCCAAATTAGATGAAGCTCCTCAAGGGCTTTTTAGTAGTTGTAGCTAATAGCTAAGATTTATCATGTAAGAGTTTTAACTTTCTGTGTAAAAAAATAACCAGTTGCTTCACAAAGTCTTCATTAGTTGTAATTTTGTGATAAATGAACATCTAAAACGCAAATGGCTAAAACAAAGTGAGTAAAGCAGTATTCAGCAAAGGCTTTGAGCTCGTTTTTTTCCCTCTTTCCAAAACCTTCCTTTTCATAAAGTTTATAGTTAGGGCTCAGTGTGAATCATCTGTTGGTTATGTAGACAGGCTGCTGGGGGACTTCCCACGATGTACTGTGCATTCTTCTCCACTCAACTCTTTTCATACTCCAAGCATTTTTATGCCACTACTGAATGTCTTTAATAGATTGTGTCTTGTCCTTGTCTAGACTCTTGTCTTTGCCCTCACCCCATCAACTGGTCACAGCAGATGGCTGCCCCTCTATGAGCCTTCCTGTTAAGAGGAAGTTCCTCCTTCTCAGTGTCACCAAGCGCTTATTCACAGGGGACGATCTGACTGTTAGGATTTGCTCTTTTTTAACTTTTATCCCTGTGTTTACTTTACAATATAAAGGCCCTCGATGGCCTGTTATTATGAATTAGGGCTATATAGACAAAACTGAATTGACTGACTTAGTAATAGAAAGCACACGACATAAATATTAAACTGTAAGACACTTTGCTTTTTTTGCTTGCTTTTACTTTTGCACAATTTGTAACTTTTATTAAGTGTTTTTTAATAGACCAGACTGGTATCTATTATTTTGTTTTGTCTACCTTAGCAACTCTTATTATCTTCTATTTATATCTTTTATGAAATAAATAAATAATAAATGCTGAGCCAGCAGCCTAAGGCACACTAGACAGTTCTGCATATTAAGCACAGACATTGTGGAGTCTTCTGTCCTCAAACCAAACTGAAGTACATGCAATTTCGAATCTTATATAAGTTGAAGCACACAGAGACAGCATCCTAAAATGGTATTGCCCAACTTGCAGTAAAGGCCACTTGGGCAGTGAGCTGAGTGCATGTTTCAAAAAACACCACTTGCTTTTGAAAGGCCGAAACTGTTTATTCAGAAGATTTTAAAGTGCTTCTTATCACTACCAAAGCCTCTGAACCCCCTTACCCCGAAGAAGAACTTTATTCTCAAGCAGCGATTTCCTTGTTTCTGAGTCTCTTTGTTCTCATAAAGCACAACCGCACGTTCTTATTTCTGGTATCTAAAATGACAGGTTCAACTAACTATGTTGAGATGACAATTCTGAAATAGCTCTGAAAAACAATATCTTCTCATTCACATGGATTTGAAAACCACTTCCTTGCACAAGAGGACTTTGAGTAAGCAACTTGGTTTGTTGTGCGTGAAAAAAGTGTTTTTTACTCTCACTATATGCCACACACTGCAATTGAGGTTGCCGTAAAAACAGACCTTAGTTTCATCATGCCAACGGTAAAGCTCCTGTATGACTTTGCCAGTCGTTTTCATTCTCTTTAGGAAAGACTTGCATTCTTTACCTGCTCCATTAGCTTCTATGCAAGTCTTCATGTTTACAGATAGACAGTTTTATATGATTAGTGTAGTTTGCTGCTATTCAGACAAGCATAAGGCACATAGATCCCGAGTGTGTAAAACTCTTTTCAATCCATTTAAATACCCAAAGCTGGTAGGATGATGTTTCCTTTCAAAGTAACAGTGCAGTAATTGGGGACTGAGACCTCACAGACACAATGATGTATGTTTTGTTTGTCCCTGTAACCCACAGTGCACACCACTCAACACCGCTTATGCCCTATTCAACAGCCTCCTTCTCCTTCTGTGTTTTAACAACCTCTTTGCCTCAGCCTTTTTGCTTTTTCTAAAATTTCTTCCTGTGAATTACAGGCTGGGTCTTATTTTTTCCCCCTTTCATTCCATGGAAGTGGTGGGGAGGAATTATTGCTTGTTTAAATATATACTAAAGTACTGGCCCCTGCATGGCATGAGGTTCCAGTAGCTGCTGGTTGACCACAGAGGAAACAGAGTGCTGCTGTTCTTGTGTGCTCCTCCTCTGTCAGAGGAAGGTTCAAAGGGAAGGCAGACCGAACGTGCGGAGGCCAAACTTCCTTTTCCCCATCATGGTTTCCGCACCTTCTAGAGTTGGAACATGAAGGAAAAACTTGGTCTCTGTTTCATCAAACAGTTTATGGAAAGGAACTGAACACCGGAGAATAATGTCAATCTGCTATTAAGGGATTAAGTTTAAGTTCAAACTTCTCAAATACCTGCTGTTTCGTGAGGTACTCTTTCTTTTCCAATTAAAATGTTTTATGAAATGTCACATATATTTAGGCGTTGTGTTGCTCTTAACTGTTATTTATGCTTTATTTAGGATGAAACTATGAACTGCTTATTCTTCACTTTTAACTTAACTGTGTATAGATGCATAAATGCATGTTAATAATATTAGAGAAAACAAGTAGGTAAATCAATTTAATGCTAAAATAGGTATGGCTTCAACATGACTGATGAAGGAGATCCAGTTTAGGTGGCACAATGTAAAAAGTTGTCTGACAATAGCAACTTTAACACTGTCGTTGCAAAACTGTGACATTCTGACCCATAAATCAGAGAGTGCTTTGCTTGAATCGGTGAAAAGCTTCCTTAACACTTGAAAGTGTAATGAAAGATGTTGAGCAAGTTTTATGTAAAAACAGAGAGGAAATGATGGATGATAAAGAAAGGCAAAAGTCAACATTTGAACATGATACAATTTTTTACGAGTATTATAGATGAATTCAGATGAATCAAAGCACCAAGCCTTTAAATTCCACTGATGTATGTCGACCATTACTTTTGGCCTTCCAATTGTTGAAAGGTAAAATAGTTTGGAGAGATAAATCTAAATCTCTCTGAGTGGTTACACTGCGAAACAGCAGGTCTTTGGGAATTTCTGTTGTATCCTTGTTAATGTGGAGTACGAGAGGAATGAGAACAAGAGGAAAGGGTCAGGGGTAATCAAGGAAGACCATTGAAACCAGCAGGAAACAGTGACTGTTCATAGTAAGTTAAGCTTCTGTGATAATGATAATGAC